CGCAACTTCCCGGTGACTATTTTGTACGGGTCACCCCGAGGGGCGGGGGGGCCACGCCTCCCAACCGAGAGGGGATCAAACCTCATCATAATGTAGCGGTGGTCGGAGAGAGTTTCAACTCCCTCCGCCACCGCCCACCCCCCAATCCTCCGGGCCGCAGCAGGGGTTGCCCATGTCAGGTCCACCACCGACCCCCCCTGCCACCCCACATATGTATTGATCCCCCCCCTGTTGAGGAGGACCAGGCCCAGGGCGGCCGCCCAATCGAGGACCGCCGCTCCCCTGGCGTCTTCCCGAGCAGACCCCCAACGAGGGGAGGCCGCGTTAAAATCCCCGGCTACTATGATCGCAGCATTGGGGCGACGTAGCACCGCCGCCCCAACGCTGTCTAAGAGTTCCTCCAGCTGTGCCAGGGGTCGGCTTGGAGGAGCATACAGCCCCACCACCATAACCGACCCCCAGTCTACCGCAACAAAATTTTCGCCCCTACAAATACCCGTTAGGGGAGGGGAACCACCCCCCCGGGCAATTGCCACCGAACCCCCACTGCTACCCGCCCAGTCAGAGTGGGCCGGAACAGAGTAGGGCTCGGCGACAACCCCCAATCCCACATCCATGCCCACCATGCTCTGGACAAACAGGTCCTGAGCACGGCGGGCATGGTTTAAATTCGCCTGCAAAATGATGGCAGAAGCCATTACAAGGCCCCAATCTCCATAGGGGCCGTTTCCCCCGCTTCCTCTCGACCCGCAATCTCAGTCGGGTGCTCCGCCGCTGCCGCCTTGGGGCGCTCCGCAGCCACCATGGGGCGCTCCACCGCCGCCGCCATGGGGCGCTCAACCGCCGCCGCCATGGGGCGCTCGGCCACCCCTTTCCCCGCCCCCTTTCTGGTGGCAGTGCACCCCTTTCCTCCCAGCCTGTGCCCCGCAGGGTTTCCCCTGTCTGCACATATCGCACAGTGGGCGTCAGCAGTGCACTGATTTGCCCTGTGCCCCTCCTGTCCACACGTGTAGCAACACCCAGACCTATCCCGGGCGCTCCTACACGTGTCTCTCACGTGCCCAAACTCCAAGCACTTGTAGCACTGGAGTGGGCGGGCCGGAAGGGTGTCAACTCTCGCCGACACCCAGCCGACCCTAACCCGTCCCTCTCCCGCCAGCTTACGGGCACATGCAACAGGGCATCGCGCCCACACCGTGCCCATACTTCCCTCCACTCGCCTGATATTCCCCACACGTATGGCGTGAATATCTCCTCCCCATACCTTATTTATCGACTCCTTTACCTCCTCCGGGGTGCAGGAGTCGTCAAGGTCCCGGATTCTTAGCTCGGCCATTTTTACAGGCCGCAGAATCCTCGCCTCGCTGCCAATGACCTCCCTTAATTTAGCGGCCAACGCATCCGCCTTATGAGGCCCACCCGGGCCAGTGATCTCGAGGATCATACCCCCCGTGGCGGCTCTTCTGGGGCGCACCCCCTCGATGCCTATCTCCTCCAGGGAAATGTTACCCTTGGCTTTCGCCAAAGCCTCCGCGTACGTACTACCCCCCCCCTTGGGGAGGGTGATGCTAATCGCTGCCGAGCGGGGCGGGCGTGGCAAGGCCGCAGGTCGTGCTGCAGCCCTTTCCCGCTGGGCCCCAACGCCCAACCCCGGTCCGGGGCGTCCCCCGACCAACGTCCTCACAGGAGCCGCGGGGACGCCCGGCAAGGCTGCCGCCTTAGGCGCCTGGGCTTTTTTCTTCTTCCCCTTGCCCTTTTTCCCCTTTCCCCTATGTGACAGGACCTCCGTCCAGTCGCTTCCCGACTCCGCGGTCTCCGTACGGGACACCACCCCTTTCCCAGAAATACCAGGGGAGGGGCGGACTGCCCGAACCTCCCGGAGGAGCTCAGCCCTCATGGCCTTGAACTTATCGTCCATGAGGCGCGATACCCTGCGGACAATGTCATCCGCACCGGCATTTGAGCCCACCCGCGCGATTGGGGTCAGGGTGGGAGGGGTAACGGGTTTGCCCACCCCAGCCTTCAGGATGTCTATCTCCCTAGTGAGGCGCCTGACGTCAGCCTCGAGCTCTTTAACCCGCGCCTTAAGGCGGAGGTTCTCGTCGTTGGCACTACTACTACCCGGGGCCGGTATCCTCATCCCCAGTTCAGAGACCGCTGCCTCGACCACCCTCGAGGCCTCCTTGAGGGTGCGCACGTACCCTCCCTTGAGGTTTTTGGAGGTACGCGCCACCTTCTCAATATTCCTAACTCTCTCCACTACCTGCGAGCACAGGTCCACTGAGGGGCACCTCAACATCTCCACCCCAAGTTCCTCCAGGGATGGGACACCCCCACCCGCCGTCCTCGGAGGATCAGGGAGTACCTCATCCCCCTCGCTATCGACCGTCCCTATGTAAACCCTCTTGGGGGCGGCAGCGCCACTGACCGGAGGCAGAGCCCGCTTTCTCTTCGGCCGGGCCTCCGTAACTATGGAGCTCAGGGAGAAGTCCGACTCCTCGCCGGCCTCAACCCCCGATCCCATACCCGCTGTCGCTATCGAGAGGGATGACCCCGCCGTAGATCCCCCTCGAGCAAGTCCCCGCCTCGTCCGTCCCCGCCAGGTAAGGTCAGATGACGAAGGGGGGGGCATGCTCCCCACCTCCGCCACCATTTCAATCTCCGGGCCTTGAGTACCGCCCTCCTGCACCTGAGGTGCACGCTCCTCCGAGGTGCTCGCAATGCGCTCACTCGTCCCTACCGCTTGTACTTCCAGCACAGCACCCGCTGTGCTCGCGCCCGCCTCGCGCTCTCCCCCCTCACCACCACCCTCTACATTTTGTTTGTTTTGTATATTGTTATTTGATTCTTCCATCTTATTTCCACGAGAAGGTCGGAAATATAGGTCACCCCGCGCAGAGCCGCCTTACGCGGGGAAGCCTTAACAAGTACTCCGGGGTTCAGGCAGGTACCCCGGAGGAACCGTTCACGACTGCACTATTTAACCTCCATGCAGCCATGCACCCCTCAGCACGGTATCTTGACACCTTGGGTTTGGAGGGTGTGACGTTCTTTGTCTGGTGTCTCACCCCGAGTCTACCTGGCATGGTTGCACCTACCGGGGGCCACCGCCCCCGCCAGTATAGCCTCGAGGGTCATTGACACACACAAGCCCCTTCACCACGACAAGGTGCCGACACCTCGAAGGGGTGTCCATCTACTTTTTTATATAACAGATGGCACTGATTAAAACACGTAATTGAGACTTGTGTCAAGTACAAGCAACCAGTGGTACAGCCAATGCGACGAGGTAAGTCATGTGACAGCGTTATTAATGGTGTCCTGCCTGTCGATGTCGTGTGTTGAAAAGAGCAGAGTGAGCGGTGACTGTTTAAGTACATCAACCCATGAGTGTAACAGAGAGATCACTAGGATGCGAACGAGTCAAATTTTACGAGAGCAACACAAACGTCATATTGCCGATTCGTTTGCACTAATGCTCTGCGGATAGGACGTAGCGAGCGACGATTTGGCGATTCGCTCACATCATCGTACTTTTGCGTACTGCTTACTGTTATACACGCGTACTGTTGCGTGCACGACCTGAGATACGTAAATAATTCTACCCACTCTTCTCTCTTTTACCATAGGGCATGTATAAGCTAAACATCATTAATGACGTTTATGTCAGTGCACTTGTGTTTTGAATCAAAGAATAATGGATATTGTATCTTTCAGTAGACAGTATATATACAGTGATTTGTTAGAAATAGGGATTCTACTTTATGTTATAAGCTTAATTAAATTATAATATTAGATATACATGTATATGTCATTAACTGTTAATTGCCGAAGCGAAACAATGTAAAATAAGGAAATAGATGTAAAATGTGTATGAGCTAAATAACCAATATACTGATATGAGTACATATTGATTGTGATTGGAATAAATTAGAGTGAAAGTAGGAATCTTTATAAAGCGGATAGGCAAGAGAAAGATCAGATGAAGTATATGATGAAAAAAGGACACAAGAGTGAGGAAAATAAATACATAATGAAATATAAAACTGATTTATTACTTTGGAATTCCTGGCATGGACCCGCCAAGTAGTACTCGATAAGGAATCATCTAAAGTTTTATTAATTATTAAATCACCATTAAATCGTAATTAAATACGGGAAGCAGTAGTAACATAAAAAAGTAGCGAAAACGTTATAGGAAATATTGAAAATATAATTAAAATGATGGGCCAGTGCTAGATCATATAATAGGAAAACATGTAGTGACTTATATACTTGGCCTCAATAATATGTAACCAATATACTGATATGAGCTGATAATATGATACTGATAATATACTGATATGACCAATATACAATATACTGATATACCAATATACATATTGATTGTGATTGGAATAAATTAGAGTGAAAGTAGGAATCTTTAGAAAGCGGATAGGCAAGAGAAAGATTAGATGAAGTATATGATCAAAAAAGGACACAAGGGTGAGGAAAATAAATACATAATGAAATATAAAACTGATTTATTAAAATAACACTTAAATATTAATATAAAAAAAACAAACTAAAAATATAAAACTTATTTATTTAAATTTAAATATGAAAAACCTCAACGTCTATTGAATCATAACCAAAAGATAATTTCGAAGACAGATAGACTTATCTTAAAACTTTTACTTCAATCATGATAGTCTATCTGTCCTCGAAATCATCGTTTGATGATTCACTAGCCGTAGTAGTTCTTTACTACTATCGTCGCTCTTTTGTTACCTCGTGATCCACAGGAATAAATTAGAGTGAAAGTAGGAATCTTTAGAAAGCGGATAGGCAAGAGAAAGATTAGATGAAGTATATGATCAAAAAAGGACACAAGGGTGAGGAAAATAAATACATAATGAAATATAAAACTGATTTATTAAAATAAGACTTAAATATTAATATAAAAAAGACAAACTAAAAATATAAAACTTATGCATTTAAATTTAAATCGAAATCATCTATCATCCGTAATAGTTTTTCACGACGATAGTCGTCGCTCTTCTATTTCCTCGGGAGGGCCTACCGCCTCTCCCACGGCCTCGTTGTTGCTGTTGTTGTTGCTGCTGCTGGTTTCCTCCCTGCTGCTGTTGTTGTTGTCGGTGGCGGAAATACCATCGCTCTTTGCTTTTCCCGCCACCTCTTTTTCGTGTTGCAGCTGCAATAAATATTAAACAAGATTCAATAAACATTTTAATGTATAGTTTTAATATAGCATATAAGATATAATTAATATAAAAGGTTAAACATTTCGCGCTATTATGTTTACCAGGATTTGCAGCAGCAAGACCCTGGAGCAGTTCGTGCATAGCAGACACCTGCTGCTCCAGGGCCTCAAAACGTTTCGTTATGGGGGGAGAGGCGGCCTGCCCCCCCTGAGGATTTTGTTGTTCGTTATTATTTTCCTCATCTTTATTATGATGGCTCTGGTCAGGATGTCGATCCTGACCAGGCTCTCTATTTTCTTGGTCAGGATGGACACCCTGACCAATCATTTGAATTTCCATTGGCAGGTCTTTATCTTTTAGTCCAAAATCGTCTGTAACATACAAAATTTCGTTGATTACATCTCAAAATATAAAATAACATTGAATTATGTTTAGTAATTTGAAATACGAAAAACTGATTTATATGTAAATAAAAATTA